GCTCCTGGATAGGCAAAATCAATATCATTAAAATGTCTATACTACCACAAGCAATATACATTTTCAACACAATTCCAATCAAATTGCCCAAAACATTCTTCACGGAACTGGATACAATGATTCAAAAGTTCATATGGAAACACAAAAAACCACGAATAGCTAGAACCATCCTGAAAAATAAGAAGTTAGCAGGGGGAATCACAATCCCGGACCTCTGGACATACTATAGAGCAGTGGTTATCAAAACAGCCTGGTACTGGCACAAAGACAGAAAGGAAGATCAATGGAATAGAATAGAAGCACCAAAAGGGAACCCAAACAAATACAGCCAATTAATCTTTGACAAAAAGACCAATGACAGCTCAAGCAAGTGGGAAGGCCTCTTTAGTAAATGTTGTTGGGACAATTGGCTGATAGCCTGTAGAAACAAAAAAATAGACCCACATCTATCACCATACACTAAGATCCAATCTACATGGATAAAAGACTTAAACCTACATCCAGAAACCTTCAAACTCTTGCAAGAAAATGTAGGAAATACCCTGCAAGACCTAGGAGTAGGTCCCGACTTTCTAAGAAGGACACCAAAAGCAATAGCAGTTGAGAACAGAATCAACAAATGGGACCTCATCAAACTAAGAAGCTTCTGTACAGCAAGGGAAACAATCAACAAAGTAAAAAAGCAACCCACAGAGTGGGAGAAGATCTTTGCACACGATATAGGCGATAGGGGGCTAATTTCCAGGATATACAAAGAACTTCAAAACAACCAAAAAACCAAAACAAACAAGCCACTCAAGAAATGGGCAAGGGAAATGGGCAAACATTTCACAAAGGAACAAGTCCAAATGGCAAACAAACATACGAAAAAATGTTCCAGCTCCCTAGCAATAAGGGAAATCCAAATTAAAACATCGATGAGGTACCACCTAACACCAGCAAGATTGGCCCACATAAACAAGAACACCAACGACGCTTGCTGGCGAGGATGCGGGGAAAAGGGAACCCTACTCCACTGCTGGTGGAGCTGCAAATTGGTACAGCCTTTATGGAAATCAGTCTGGAGAACACTCAAACAACTCAAAATCTGCATACCATATGACCCAGCAATAGCACTCCTAGGCATATATCCAAAACACCTGTTTTACGACAAACCAACATGCATCCCTATGTTCATTGCAGCACAATCAGTAATTGCAAAAACATGGAAGCAACCGAAATGCCCATCAGCAGAAGATTGGATAAGAAAGCTTTGGTTCATCTACTCCATGGAATACTACTTAGCTATTAAAAAAAACAAAATGCAGTTCTTTGTGGCTAAATGGGCACAACTGGAAACTATAATGCTAAGGGAAATGAGCGAATCCCAAAAGATTAGATACCACATGTTTGCCTTGATTTAACCTGTAATTTTTTGTTTGGTTGTTTGTTATTTTTTGAACCTGTCATTGATACTGTCTCAACCCAGATGTTTCGAAGAATGGAACTTGCATTATTTTTAACATATTGTTTACCCAATACTATGTCAATTAATTCCATAATGTTGTATATTGATACTGAGGCCTTGTTGGGGCTTTTAACTGACCGGATCTTTACTCTGTTAGACCTATCTTCAGACCATAGAAGGTCTCCCCAAGAGGCCACTGAACTTATCTGGACAAGAAGACGCTGAACTTTATGCTAGGCATGTGTTTGCAAGCAATGAATCTCAACTGAACTTGAACTATGGTTATGCAACAAGGTGGAGGAATCCACCATGGGGGGAGGGGTATGGGAGGGGTGGGGGGAATCCCCAGCGCCTATAAAACTGTACTACATAATACAATGTAAGCAACAATAAAAAAATATATACTCTATCAAAAAGTTGATATTAATGTTTCTAAAAAGGATACACTAATGTATGAAAATATGATTAAAACTGAAAATTAAATTACATAAATTGGAAAAGAAAAGCACAATAATTGAAATGGATGGATTAAAACTCACATTTCGATAGGAAAATGAAGAGCCTTCAATTTGAGACTGCAGTACAGAAAAAAAATCAGGTTATTAAAGAACAGTGAATAGAGCCCAGTATCAGGACGGCCTTGGGGCCTAGGGGTTAAAACTTCTAGTAGCCTGTTGGTTAATGGTGGGTGCCAGGCTGGGTCTGTTTTCATACTTGGAGCCCTGATTACAGCCACCAGGTACAGGTGGTGAGCTGTCCTCAGGCCTGCCTGAGCTCCGGACGCATTTCTCTTCATGGTGAGTGCACTGTAAGGCGAAGTCTGGAGAACAGGGTGAGCCTAGGCCCCACTTGCCACCATCATTGTGTGGTGGATGGGATTGGGGAGGGGGTGACCTGGGGGTTTGGGGGTTAAATCTTCCAGCAGCCTATTGGCTGTTGGAAGGTGCCAGGCCACATACGTCTTCATGGTCGGAGCCCTGATTCCAGCCACTGTGTATATGTGGTGAGCTGTCCCTTCCTGACTGCCTGGTGGTAAGTTCTGGGGTTTTGTGGCTTTGAATTGCTGCTTAGGTGGCTCCATGTTGAGCCCACTGTGCTTCTTAGATGTGAATCAATCCTAAGGACTCCCAACAACAGACTAACTTTTCCTTTGAAGGTAAATGAGGGTACTGATACCTGGTAGGTTGGAGGAGAAGAACCAGATAATCTTTATGGGTAAGACTAATATGCCAACCTCCTTTGAATCCTGTGTAGAACTTTTCATCACTGAATAATGCTGACCGCTGAACACCAGTCCATGGAAAAGCTAAGGCTTCGGGCTTGTCTGGCAGGATCATATCCTATTACCTGCCATGAAGATGGATCAGGAGATGAGTTACATTAGGTAGGGCCAGGACATTAACTAGCACATGAGAGAACCATATCCGGGGATAGATTCTGTGGGGGATGTGTGGGCCAAACCCTGTGGAAATACTAGCCCCACTGGTTAGCTCAAGAGTTGGGGTGGCAATGGAGTAAACTGGGTGTGACCATGGAGCCTGCCATCAATCATGGGTAAAAAAATCTGCAACAGTCTGGACTGATCAAGGCAGCAGCACCTGAATGTGCATCCTAAATAGCTTGTGGGGTGGGCTGGGCTTCAACGTTCACCAGCTCATACAAGGCTAAATGGAAGGCCAGACTATGCGGAACACTGGCCTAAAACCCAATGGCATGTATGAGAACTGGGTCGGGAGTGGGTCAGGTGGAGGAATTTGAGAAACTCTGCTGGCAGGTCATAGCTCCCGCTGGTGAACACATCGTCCAGACCTAAGGGTCAGACAAGCTGGGCAAAGTAGCTCCAATGGCTGGCTAATGCGTGGGCTGGTAATAGGATGGGTGGGCCGGGCAGGACTGAGCAAGCCCTATCTCACAAGCAAAATTAGAAATCAGGATGGAGTGCAATTCATGCTGAGCTAGGCTGTTGCACCTACTGGTCTGCGTGAGCCAGGGATGCTAAGCCACAACATCTAAGGTAGGGGTCAGGACAGGTGAGGGGCTCTGCCAAGAGCACCAACTGGCATGCACATGATCTATGGCTGGAAACAGGCCTGGTTGTGGAGTTAAGGGGACACCATAGCTGGGTGGAGATTCCCACTAAGGGGCACACGAGCTGGAATGGGGGCTGCATTCTAATCACGGTTACGGTTGTAGTCTTCCTTGGCACAAGTGTGTACTGGGACTGGACACACCAAACTGGGCTAGATTACAACACCATCTTGTGCTCTGGAAGACCAGGGGAGATGTGGGACAGACTAGGCTAGGTCTCAAACCCCTACTGAGCCATGTGTGAGCTGTGAGTATGGATGAGCCATGGCAGGGCTGAAACATCCAATACTAGCAACCGGATTAGGTTGAAACCCAGTCAGGAAAGGCCACTGTTCATGATAGGACAGGAGGTGAACTCAGTAAGGCTGGTTCATGGACCCACTGCTATGTACAAAATCTGGCATTGGGAGAGGTTCTGATGGAGGAGCCTGGGCAACTCCTTTGGCAGGACACAGCCCCTGCAGGTAAGTGCAAGAATGATAGGAAACAGCCCAGAACAGGCCATGGAAAGCTTCTCAGTGGCATACATTTGGCATGGGTAAGGGGCAGACCAAGCTGAATCAGTTCACATCACCCATTGGTGAATCTGAGAAACAGAACATAGTGTGGGTCGAGACAGGTTTGTTTGCGACAAAAACCAGTGCACATTACAGAATGCCAAGGTGAGGTGACCTGCCTCAGATGTTGCCACAACGCCCAACAGTACACATGAGAACCAGGTAGGGAGGGGGAATGTCAGAAGGGAAAGTGTGTGTGTGTGTGTGTGGGGGTGCTCTCCTGCTTGACAGCTACTCCCAGTAGAGATCATGAGTTAGGATGTGGCAGACCAGATTAGACAGGGCTGCAACACCTGTGGGACTCATGTGCGCTAGATCAGGGAAAGGCCATGCTGGGCTGATTGTTCCTACGGGTGTAAGCATAAATTAGAGTGGGTGAAGCTTGGTTGGGCTTAGTCACAGCATCAGCTGGCAGATGCAGGCACTGAGGGCTAATTCTTTCAAATCAAACTGCAGAACCACTTGGAGAGTACGTAACTTGGGTGTGGGAGTGACCTCTAAGGGAAATAGTGGGTTTCTCCCTCTTGGATTACCACTGCCACTGGAAGGCTAGACAGACAGGTGCCCAACAGCATATGTGTGGGCTGGATAGTGGAGCTGATTAGGTTGAACTAGGCTTCAATGCCCATTGACATAGAGTTAATACAAGTTTTCTCTTAATAGCTCTTTTTTATCCACAATGGAAATTGCCAGCATGCCAATCCACAATTCTGTATCACTCTGGATCCAAGAATACAGAGAAATGGAGCCCAACACATATTGTACTGCACAGTTAAGATGAGGAATAACAAACATTTGCAGTTTTAATTCACTAACAATTTTCAATTTTTCATTCCATAGCATGCATAAATAATCCAATGGTATTAAGAATTATGTTTCATTGTTTTACACTTTAGTGAGTATTTTGTTTTAATATGGAATGCTTCAAGAATTGGTGTGCCATCCTTGTGCAGGGACCATACTAAGCTTCTCTGTATCGATTCAATTTTATTACATGTGCTGCCAAAGCAAGCATAGTAAATATTTCTTAGTTAAACAAACTGATACTAAGCAAAAGAAAATTATTTCTATGTCTCTCTCTCTTTTAAAGATTTATTTATTTTTATTGGAAAGGTAGATGTTTAGAGAAGAGGAGAGACAGGGAGGAAGATCTTCCATCTGATGATTCACTCCCCCAAGTGGCTGCAATGGCCGGTGCTGCGCCAATCCAAAGCCAGGAGCCAGAAACTTCTTTCCAGTTCTCCTACTCAGATGCAGGGTCCTAATGCTGTGGGCCGTCCCCAGCTGCTTTCCCAAGCTAAAAGCAGGGAGTGGGATGGGAAGTGGAGCTGCCTGGATTAGAACCAGTGCCCATATGGGATCCTGGAGCATTCAAGGTAAGGACCGTAACCACTAGTCACTCGTGCCAGGCCCTATGTCTCTCTCTTTTTTTTAAATGCTGAGAAAATATGCAATAATTTCTTTATATTATCTTGTTAACATATCTTTTAAATCAAATTTTAGAATGTATAAACTGCGGCTTAGTTAGTCATTATATAATTTAAAAGCAAGTATGCTTTTATAAAATAAAGGGTGGTAAAAGTAAATTTATTGTCCTTTTCTAAAATCTGATTAGGGAAGGTTATTCATAAGCTCTTTCTATTGTTTAAGATAATTGTTTATCATTATGAGCAATAAGTGAAAAAGGATATAAATGCACATTCCAAAAGGAGAAGTGCAGTGGATGAATGTAATTTAATATTGTTAGAAAAATTTAGTCTGTGTTTCATTGCCTCCACCAGGTAGGGATATGTATATATATATTGCTTCAAAATGTAACATTAGTTTCCCCTAACTCTCAAATGCTTTTACTTTACAAATATCGAATTTAAGAGTTTTCCACATCTCGTATGTTGGCTGTTGGCATTTAGATAGTACTACTAGAAACATTTGAGCTCCTATACAGAACACAACGTTTAAACCAATTTTGTTTGACATATCTTGAAAAATCAAATTACGTATGAATCAGATTAATGTGTCTTAAATATCCTCAAGTTTCTTACAAGATTATATCAGCACTAAGAGATCATTCAATTCTAAAAGATTAAAGTACAAAGACCTACAAATTGAAAAGATAAGACAATTTTTCATTTTTAGCTCTATCTGATTAAAGTACAACAACAAACTGTGTATCAAATGCAGTAAAGGGAAAAAGAATACTCTTGATTTTCCTCTCAGTAATGCATTTATTAGCTTTATGTTTGTTAGATCACTAGTCCTGAAATTTCTACATTAAAATTTTATTTTAAAATTTAAATAACCTGATATTAAATTGCATTACTTAATTAAGATAACATTTTAACATTCTGAATAGAATATGTGTTGTGCATTAGCAATAGTTAAAACATATTCAGTATGCTTTCATCATAAGAACTCTTCTTACTGATATGTCTTTATTAAAATAAGGTATAATCTCCATAGGCCCGGCAGCGTGGCCTAGTGGTTAAGTCCTCACCTTGAAAGCACCAGGATCTCATATGGGCACCGGTTCTAATCCCAGCAGATCCACTTTCCATCCAGCTCCCTTGCTTGGGACCTGGGATAGCTGTCAAAGACAGCCCAATGCAATGGGACCCTGCACCCGTGTGGGAGACCTGGAGAAGTTTCCTGGCTCCTGGCTCTGGATTGGCGCAGCACTGGCCATTGCGCTCACTTGGGGAGTGAATCATCAGATTGAAGATCTTCCTCTCTGTTGCTTCTTCTCTCTGCATATCTGACTTCGTAATAAAAATAAGATAAATTTTTAAAATAAAATGAAATAAAATAAAATAAAATAAGGTATAGCCTCTAATTAGGATTTAAGTCACTTTATAAGTTACATAATTTTTTAGGGACTTGTGTTCATAACATTTCATTTGAAGATATTTGACATATTCTAGACATTGACATTCTTCTCCAAAATGTAGAGATTAAAGAAACTTTTATGTAAAGTTATATATCACTTTTAACTATGAGTTAAGCCTTTCTATAAATTAATTTACTATTTAGTATAAAGTGTCTTTCTAAAATTACATATGCACATACACAAAAATAAATAAATAAATAAATAACACAAAAAACACTTTAGAAACTGTAAGCATTATTTATTTATTGTTAACAACATTTATGCAAAATCATAAATATGTGTATGCATATATACTGAGAGTATATCAGAATCTATATTTATATATGAAATGCACTTGCACATATAAATTGTTACATTTTTAATTTTTCTAGTTTTAATTATCATGTGATCTAATCTGTAATTCTCAAATGATTTTCATCATATGCTTTACATCATGTTTTAATTGTCTCTCATACATCATGTTAGTTTATTTTTCTTTTTAGATCCATTCTGCTTTCATTTATCCCTTATTTATTTTGCCAGTAAATTTGTGGTGGTTCATTATCAGTATTTTACATGGCAATAGGTGAACGTGTTTTATATAAATCTTTCAATTTGTATCTGTCTAAACAGTTATTCTTTTTCAGAATTTTGCTTCTGGTAATATGCTGAGATGTTTGATTAGTTATTTGTATGGCATTTAAATTCTCATTTTATTTATTAAAATTTTATAAAAGGAATTCTTTTTAAAAAGATTACTCCTAGGCCTGGCACAATAGCCTGATGGTTAAAGTCCTTGCTTTGCTTGCGCTGGGATCCCATATAGGCACCGGTTCTAATCCCGGCGGTTCCTCTTCTCATCCAGCTCCCTGCCTGTGGCCTGGGAAAGCAGTCAAGGATGTCCAAAGCCTTCAGACCCTGCACCCATGTGGGAAACCTGGAATAGCTCCTGGCTCCTGGCTTCGGATTGGCTTAGCTCAAGCCGTTGTGGCCACTTGGGGAGTGAACCCTTGGACGGAAGATCTTCTCTTACTCTCCTCCTCTCTGTATATCTGCCTTTCCAATAAAAACAAATAAATCTTTAAAAAAGATTACTCCTTCAAACATCAGAATTATACAAGGAGAATCAAAAAGACAGAGAAAGAGATCTTCTATCTACTGGAACACTCTTCAGACGACCATACTGGTCTGTCCTAGCCTTGGCTTAACCCAAGAGCCTGGGCATTCTTTTAGGTCTCCTGTGTAGTTCTAGAGGTCCAAGTATTGTGGTTATCTTATGCTGCCTTCCCATGTGTATTTTCAGAGGGATGTAACAAATGTTTACACTTTTAACTACCTGTAATATTGTATACACTCAATTGTGTCTGATGGAAAGAGATGTAACATAATACTTTCAGAACATGACAAGAATTTTTAAATATGATATGAAATAATGAAGATACTTAAATAGCATAAAAAAGGTAAGATACATGTCTTCAGTTTACTTAAATTTTAGTTGTACTGAAGTTTGATGTTGTTTTTTTATTCAGTTACATAATTAAAATATAGCTAGTACAAACTGAGAACCAGCTGCACATCAGTGTCTCTCTTTCTAACATAATCTTTCAACATTCGAAATTGGGAATTCTAGTTTTCTAAAATTCTGTCTCAACTACTTTAATCAGTGCATAGCTACTCCTAGTATATGAAAGTAAATACAAAATGATAATTTTTTTTCTGGAGCTTCCAATCAATACTTACATGATCTGCTTTCCACGCACAATTGCTCAGTTAGCATTGAAGATGTTTGTAGCAAGACAGTAGTAATGGAAGATCCTTTCAATCATTACTTTTGGATAATAACAAACATCTGAAACTAAATGTTTTCCAAGAATTCATTCATATATAGAAATCCTTTTACACAGTCATGGACTTTATTACACTATATATATATAGTGTATATATATACACACATATACACCCATATATATGCATATATACTTATATACAAATATATGTAGAAAAATTGTAACATGCATATCCCTATGATTAATGTTAAAAAAATTTTAGGAAGATAACTATAAAAGCATAGAGAGAAAATATATGACCCCCCAATGAATCCCTGCAATATGAAAAATTAACCTATGCCAATACATATCATGCTAGTGTTTCATTGTGGTTAAAGAATTTACTGAAAAGTACTATAGCAGAATAGGATGAGAATGTGTTCTATATCATAAATGGTACAAAGTTTACATGCAAAACTTAAAAATTCAGGAAACTTCACACCTCGTTCTTCCTTCCTTCCTTCCTTGATTCCCTCCTTGCTTTCCTCCTTTCTTCATCATCCAAATTAGGGAAATGCAGATATTTCCCAATCATTTTATAAGCAGATGTATAGAAAATAAAATAATTAAAATAACATATTAACAATAATGCAGGACAATAGCGAGGTCTTGTATATGTATGAAGGGACTCTTGTGGTTTGTTACTATAAACAGGGCAATCTGGCTCCTTCGTTGGAGGTATAAGACACAGGAACACCCAACAAATTACACTGGAAGAACACCCTTAGCAACACTCAAAATCTTCTGTTAGACAATGAAAAGAGACATTTTGGAGGTTTTAAATCGGTTGCCTATCCTTGGAAGGACAAATCATTAAAATTATGTCGTAGCATGTATTGATTAGAAGCAATTCACTAGTTATACAATATGACAACCTAGTTTAACCTGAAAAATATATCACTGAAAATTTCGGGTTATCATTCATTCCTTGGTTTGTTTTCTTATTCAATTGTTATCATGTCATCTTTATTTCTACTTATTAGTATATTTTAGTATAATCTCTGCTTGTTAAATATTTATTGTCAGTTTTTGTTCATGGCTTTTTATATTTGGTTATGGTATCTTGGTTATCAACCTTCTTTTCTCTTTTATTTGTTTTGTTTCCTAATTAATGTTTTATCATATGTATAAAGAAACCCATCTTCACCTCTTTGTAAAATTAGAGTCCTTAACTTTTTAAAAATAAAATTTGCACTTTTATTTTTATTATGTCTTCAAACCATCTGGAGTCCACCTTTCTATGTGGTACAAGGTAAAGATCCAAATATTTTTCTCCATATAATGAACCAATTTTCCCGATATATCTAATAACTTATCTTTTC